TCATTGATTCTTTGTTTGGTTTGGTTTGGTTTCAGTTTGTTTGTTTGTATTTCAAAATTTCTGCTCTGGGTTTTATTATTGCTTCCCCTCTGCTGAATTTGAGTTTGGTTTGCTTATTTTTCCAAACTCTTGGGTTGCATCATTAGGTTGTTGATTTGTGGGCGTTCAGATTTTTATGTAGTCGTCTATAGCTCTGTGTTTCCCTCACAGGTCTGCTTTAATGTATTCCAGGTTTTGTTGTGCTTTCGCCTTCCCTTATTTCCATGAATTTTTCTCTTTTAGACACAGGGTCTCCCTGTAGCCCCAGCCAGCCTGGAACTTACTTTGTAGAGCAGGCTAGCCTCACTCTCATAGAGAATGGCTCCTGAGTGCTGGTATTAAAAACATGTGCCACCATGACCAGCTTCCCAGAATTTGTAATGTTCTTTTTGTCCCATTCATCACTCAGCAGTGTGTTGCTTAATCTTTGTGAGTTCATGTGACCTCTAAAGAATGGACTTTTGCTATTGATTTCAAGTTTTATTGAATTATGGCCATATAGGATACATGGAACTATTTCGGTAGTTATTGAGATTTGTTTTGTGTCCCAATATGCGGTCTATTTTAGAGAAATTTCCTTGAGCTTCTGAGTAGAAAGTGTATTCTTTGGTGTTAGGTATAATTCTCTGTAGACATCCACTAGATCAATTTGATGAATGAGTTCAATTAACTCCAATGTTTCTATGTTTAGTTTTTGTCCAAATGACCTGTTTATTAGAGAAAGTTAGAAATCTTGAAATCACCCACTATTACTGAACTTGGGTTAATCCGGGTCCTGAAGTTCAGTGGAACAATTTTTATAAAACTGGCTGTGGCTGAGTTTGGTATGTATATGTTTAGGATTATACTGTCTTCTTGGTTAACTGTTTCCTTGATCAGAATGAAATGTCCTTCTTTTTTTCTTCTGATTAATTTTGGTTTGAAGTCTGATTTGTCAGATATTAGAATAGCAATACCTGTTTGTTTCTTTTTCTATTTTCTTACTTATAAATCCTTTTCTGTATTCATGTGTTTTTGTTTTGTTATGAGACCCTATGAGTTTAACCATGTCTTTGTGACTATAGGTCACCATTGAAGTCTGGTGGTTATACAACTGATAGCCGTGCCTCCCCATTTCCCAGAATGAGGCCACTATCAGCAGCCACTAGTTCAATACTGGGGAAGGGCAGGGCTCTTTGAGCCCCTCCTCCATCCATGGTTGGCTGCTGACAGGCCCATTCTTGTGTATGCTTAATGCAGACAAGTGCAGGTGCAGTGAGTTCATTATTGCAGTGCTTGTGTCATGTCCAGAAGATGCCATTTCCTAGTCCTTCTTCCTCTCATCCATCTTTTGCTTTCTGCCCCATCTTTACACTATTCCATGAGTCTTAGATGTTCCATTAGATGCCCTGCAATGTTCTCTGAGCCTTATTTTTGAATTTGGCCTCACTCAAAATTTCAGAACACAGGCAGAATGCAGTCAGCTTCTTTGTCAGAATATACTATGACTGACCTACATCTCAGTATAGTCCCTGTTCCTATCTGAAAGTCTACGAGCATTGTCTTTGCTGATTTCTTCTCAGTCATATGGTCTTCCCAAATCCCACCAGAATGGCTCATTAATCTGTAAGGCTTCTCTAGCCCACAGTTCCAAACTCCTCCACATTCTTCCTGCAAACTAGTTCCAAAAGCCTATGATGAAGTATATACTTGGTTTAGCACAGCAATGGCCTCACTTCCCATTTCTGATTTTCTCTTTTATTTTTTCACTGTTGTGGCAAAATACCTGACAAAAACAACTGAAGGAAGGAAGGGCTTCATTTGCCTCATAGTTTGGGGGCTTCTGGGTAGCTATTTCCTCCAAACTCCTGGAAGGAGGAGGGAATCTTATAAGACTTGGGAGACAAGTGAAATTTAGAAATCCCAGGAAGCTCCAAAAACTTACAAGATTCACAAGGACCCTCCCAAAGTTTATAAAAGGAGTTAATAATTGCTGTGGGTAGGAGACCCTGGTGGAAGTAGCTGCACTTTGGGCAGGGAGCTCTAGGGACACAGCTTTCATGAATCGTCACCCACGCTAGGTGAGAATTTGGTGATGCTGCTGCCTTTGAGTCATCCCTACTCATATACATAACCCTGATAAACTCTGGTTCACCAACCTAATCTTGGGTGGAATAACTTCTTTGGTTGTTGATGATGTCCTATCTGGGATGAAGAGACATTTGTCTACTTAGGAAAAGTCACACAACAAAAATACAATCCACTATGGTAGGGAAGTTATGGGCAGCAGGAATACGAAGTGGTTGGTCACATTGGGTCTGTAGTTCAGGAAGCAGAGAGAGATGAATACTGGCCCTTGGCTTGCTTCTCCTTTGTTTCTCTTTATGCAGCTTACAGAATGTTGTGCCCACATTTAGGGTGGGTGGTCCCTTCTCTCTGAATATGCCTTCACAGAAACACCCAGGGATTTGTCTTCTAGGTGATTCTAAATCCAGTCTAGTTGACAATGAAGTTGAATCACCATACCTCCCCTATACACCCACCACAACTGTTGGTATACTGCACCAGAGCCATATGATTGTTGCATTGGCTAAGTTGACACCTCATTATCACCTAATTCCTTAGATTATGTCTGTGTTCTTTTCTGGCTTTGTGAATTTGATGGCTCTGGATACATGTATGTAAGTACTCCGCATAATAGTATCAGTCAGAGTAATTTCTCTTCCTAAAATGTCCTCTGAACTCCACCTGTTCATCTGACAACACTAAGCACTGGTGAAGACATGGAGTTGCAGAATCTCATATTCATTGTTGATTTACTTTTGTTTTGGGTTTTAGCTACCTGCTTGCTCATTGTTTTCCTTGTACGTGGGAATAACATCACACGTCTTCTGGCTCTTCTGTATAGAAAATGGCTTGTTTTTCCAAAACTCATCATTGTTCCAATAGGCATCAAGTTATATTATTCTTTTCCAAATCCAATATTCCTTTCTATTTCTAAGGCCAAAACTATTATTTGGGTCCTTGTCTCTACATGAGAGCCTCTACTGGAACCAGGCACGGTGGTCCATACCTGTAATCCCAGCACTTGGGAAGCAGAAGCAGAAAGTCACTCCACATTTGAAGCCAGTAGGCTTACATGTAAGTTCCAGGCCAGCCAGGGCCACATACTTAGACTCTGTCTCAGAAGACCAAAATCAAACATACAGTGAAACAACCTTACTAGTGTTGGGTTTTGTTTGTAAAGTCTGAAAATATGTTCAGAACTTTTGTATATTTGTTTTTATCCCTCGTCTTATAAAGCCCTACAATTAAGAGCTATAGCTAAGTGTGGGGGCACAGCCTTTAATCCCAGCACTCAGGAGGCAGAGGCAGGGGGATCTCTATGAGATCAAGCCAGCCTCGTCTAAATGGTGAATTCCAGGCCAGCTGGGGCTACAGGGAGATCCTGTCTCGAATAGACCCAAAAAAGAATTAAGGGTTAGAATTAAGAATTATACTTGCTACAGCATGACATCAGGAGACATTCATGAAGGAAGTACAATGCATTAGGCTCTAAATGTCTAAATCTGAATATTATATAATAAAATATTGTATAATAAAAATTCCCAGGAATTTGTATCTTAAAATTATTTAGCAAGCCAACCTTCTTGCGTGCTGTGACTTTCATCACTGGCATCATATAGTCAGTTTTGGTATTCAAGTATTTCGGTAAATTGTAGAAAATGAGAGATGCAAGTTTGAGTGCTTAAAAAATAAGCTATGGGGGCTGGAGAGATGGCTCAGCGGTTAAGAGCACTGGCCGCTCTGGCAGAGGACTGGGGTTTAATTCCTAGCACCCACATGGGGCTAACAACCATCTACAACTGCAGTTCCAGGGATCCGATGCCCTCTTCTGATTTCTTCTGGCACTGCAGGACACGGGTGCACTTTCATGCATGAAGGCAATACACTCATACACCTAAAATAAAAATAATAAATAAAAAAGCTATGAATCTAGACCATTAAATATTAGTCTACAACCTTGTCCCAGTAGGAATTTGTTGTGTTCAAATATCCGATTTGTGAAGGTCAACTAAAATTTCAGGTTTTCTTTTTACACATAAACAATAAAATTATGCAACCATGGCAATATATGGGCAGAAGGGATGTTCATCCTCACTTCTATAGGACAGCCTGCCTTCTATTTCAGCATAATCTAGTTGACAAATTACCCAACCATCCATATTGACAAAAAAAAAAAAAGTTTAGAATCTACAAGCTAAGTAGTGTGTCTAAGTGGCTGGTGGAATCTCCAAGAGATCCTTTGTGGGCCCTTGGGTAGAGCAGGTTTCTAAGTTTAACTGTCACAATTTAGGTGCAGAAAGAACCTGCGTGTCCGGGAGGTAAGCTTAGGCGCTGCTGTGCTGGAGTAGAAGCCTGTAGGGCTCTCAGACCTCTGCAATGGGGTTCCTCAAAGAAGCTGGTCTACCGGAAAGGAAAATGACATTTGGGACTTGCTGTGGGCTGCTCCTTCTGCAGGACCATGGCTCCTGTTGTTGGCTGGGCGCATGTCCTCAGCATAAAGCTTATTCTTTGTCATTGGTTGTGGCCACTAGGCTAGAGATCTATAGAAGCAGTGTATGCAGTTGCTCTACTCTATTAAAGGGCCTTGTGAAGGAGGCTGCATTTGAGGAAAGTAGGGATCTTGGCTAAGTCTATGTCTAGGTCCGGTCTTCACAAGGAGGCCTAATCGTTATATATAACAATCTGCTTCTGTGTGCGTACTCCACGGTTTGGACAGTCTTGGAAGCAGTTTCTGGCGGGGTAAAAGAATGAACGAATGGATGGATGAACGAATGGACGGATAAACGAAAGCATGGATGCAAGGGCGGATGAAGGCACTACCGAGTTCCGGGCCAAAGCCCTGTCTGCGAGTGCAGTGCCAGCAGGGGGCCGCGGGCTGGTGGCAGTGCGGGCTCCGGGAGGCAGGGGGCGCCCGCGAGGGGCCGGGCGGGTCCAGTCGGAATCCGCTGTTCGTCCGCCATGCGAGCTCTGCTGCGGCTGCTGAGCGCGGGCTCCGGGGGGCGCGTGGGGGCCGCCGGCCGCCCGGCGCGGGAAACGAGCGCTGGAAGCGGGCCGCGCCGCGCCATGGCCGGGTACGGCACGGAGGAGCGCGGCCAGCGGGGCTCGCAGGACTACCGCCTGTTCTTCAGTAAGTCTCTGCCTAGGAGGCGCCGCGCCGCGCGGCCCCCTCTGCCCCGGGGCCCGAAGTCGGCCCGAGGGGACGGCGGGGAGCGAAGCGCGGCCTGCGCGGCGCCCACAAGCCAACCGCCTCCGCCTCGCTGCGCGGCCCCGAGTCAGGCCGGGCCCGGGAGCAGGAGAGCCCTTCCCGCCGGCTGCCCGCCTAGGCCCGCTCCGGGAACGCTGGAGCCGGAGGGAGGACGTGGAGGGTGACCAGGAGCAGGACACAGGGCCGTCCACGTGTGCACACGTCACCACGAAACCTATTATGTGGTTCGTAACTCAAATCAGTAATAATAATAAAAAAGAAACATTTATACCGAGGCGTTTGCACCCTGATGCCGTTCACAGGGAGCCTGCTGGCATTCTAGCAAGGGCATGGCACCCCATTCCTTTGCACCTTGAATAAACCCAGAGGTGAGTGGCCGGCCGGGCCTGAGCTGGCCCGAGCTGCCCTGAGCTGCCCTGAGCTGGCCAGCCAAGGCAACAAAGTTTTGTCTCAGTCTGCACCGAGGTGCTTCACCTTGAAGTTTTAGCAGTAACGTGCTCTAGGGGTTGCCCACCCATCCTGCACCTGTTAGGAGGTCCAGCCCTGGAGGCTTTAAAGAGTGAAGTTGGAATCTTAGAAATTCATAGGTTTTGCTCTGAGAGCCCCATCCTGGATTTCTGAAATTGCTAAGCCTTAGATTTTTCCTCTTTAAAAAACAGGGCTGCAAAAATTGTATTGTGCATATAAAGTAGTCTCAGGGCCTATACTGTAACTTTTGTTATTATATAACCTGTGATCGGTATCTTTATTGTTATTTTTCCGGAGTTTAGGGTTGAGGATTATTTTATTACAAAGGAACAGAACTTGCTTAAACTCTTGTATGCATCTGGTATGATGTTTTAAATTCGAAATTAGTTTCCATTTTCTCCTTTATGCTACTGTCATTTCCAGTCTGTTCTTGTTTAGTCAAGAGTGATCAGGTCTTTTTAAGAAGGGCTGTACACACATCTGCAGCCTCAGCACTTAGCACTTGGGAAGCAGAGGCAGGAGGGTGACAAGTTTACAGCCAGCCTGAGTAGAGACCCTGTCTCACAAAACAAAAACAAAACAAAAGGAAACCCTTAATAACCGATCTCTTTTCTGAATGGTATATATTCCTAAAGGTTACAATGTAAAAATTGCTAAGAGTGTTCTCTGGAGAAACAGTGTTACACAATGGCAGTTAGCTTCTTAAGCAGATAAAAGTCTGTCTACTGTATAATAAGGTAAAAATATTCTAGATTTGCAATAAGGACAGTAATGTGTAGTGAACATGCTGTCAGAAACGTGGACACATCTGGTCTTTCCACAAGGCCATAATTTATTGAACAGCAGTAAATTCAGAAGCTACAGGGGTTTCTTTGGCTCCATTTTGTCAAGTAGTCTCAACTTCCTTTAATAGCTGGCCCAGGCAAGCACAGTTTCTTTGTGTATATGTTGATATATAACATGTGGAGGCCAGAGTCAGCCTTAGGTGTTGATGTTCAGCTGCAGTCCACCTTGTTTTTTGAGACAGGGTCTCTCACTCGTCTGGAAGTGAACAGGTAGACTGGGCTGGCTGGCTAGTGAGCCCCAGAGATCTGCCTGTCTGCCTTCCCAGCACTGGGATGACAAGCCTGCACCACCATGCCTGGCTTTTTACATGGGCTGTAGGGATTGAATCCACCACTTCATGCTTGCATAGCATGAAGTTATCACCCCATCCCAAACTTAGGTCTTATTCTAGTCTTAAGCACTATTAGCACGGAGGTCACACATTACACATCCTGCAGTAAATACATCTATATATGTAGGTTAAGGAATGACTGCAAAGGGATTAAAAAGTCGACAGCTTTAAGAGTTCCAAAGAGGCCTTACTGAAGGGCAGAAATAGAGATACAAAGAGACTGGATGCAGAAGCAAAGTGCTCTACATCCTCAATATCTGAATAGCTAGATAGGATCTTGAGATAGCCTTCAGAAGTTTGAGTCCAGCTGAGCCACAGGGTCAGAGGTAAAATGAGCTTCAAGGTCAAGTCCAGGTGAGGTGTTAGACTACGGAAGCTAAAGTGCAGAACTGGGTTCAGACAGAGCAGGCCAAAAGCCAGTTCTAGTAGACTGTATCATCAGAGGGGATCCAGCTGAGTTGAAGTCCCAGGGACAGTCAGGAGTTGTCTACCTATTGGTCTTTCCATATGCAAACCAAGTGGTCATATGACAGGTCAGTGGGGGCCATAGCCATCGTAGTGTTGTGTTCTTGAGGAAGACAGGAAATGAAAATTGGCTAAGGCACTTTAGGTTAGAGGACCCCGAAAGTAGAAAGGTTTTCTTCTTGGCTAAAAGCTAGAAATGTCCTTGGTTCTGTCCTGGCCAGATGCCACAAGGGAGATCTGTTTCCTTATCTCCTAACTTCTAGAAGCTATTCATGAGGGTGTGACTTATATACCAGTTCAGACACTAATCCCTTCTTTGAAATTGAGTTTGTAGATTTCCATTATTGTGGTGGTGCACACCTTTAATCCCAGCTCTAGGGATCAGAGGCTGGTGAATTTCAGTGAGTTCAAATTCAGCTGACTTTCATAGCAAGTTCTAGGCCAGCCAGGGCAAAGTGAAGGAAGCCCTGTCTCAAAAGAAAATGGAGTATATCACTTCCCCAGTTTTAACCCATCTCCTAAATAGTTTTAGGGTCACTTGAGGGGGAATGTTGACAGTAGAATTGAAGGCCATTCAAGATGGATATAAGGGTCTGTTGAGGCCCATTAGGGAAAGTTATTTCCTCTTGGTCAAAAAAATGGCCTAGGGTGGAGACCAGACATTCTGATTAGAACAGTATACACCACTCCTCCCCTAATTTACCTAGACCTGTCAGTCACCTCGCCAAGATACCACCCCTGTGTAAGGCTGGTTCTCATAATGAGATAACGTACTTTTCCTTCCCAGAAGCCCCTTCCGCAGCAAGTCTTTGCAGAGTTTCCATTATGTAGCACTTTGGAGCCTGCCCACTTTGCTGACTTACTCAGAAAGCGTAACTTTTTCTTTTTCTTGTTTCTGTCTTTTTCCAAAGCTTGAGCATGACTCCCCTGACACACTGGGCTTTCTCATTCTTTCTCTGAAGCTACCCCTCCCCCTTTTCCTTGTGGCTGCTTATAGAATAGCATGACTTTCTTCCTCTTCATCTTCTCTGTAGCTGCCAAGATTCACAGCCAGCTTGCTCTGGTGCTTTTCTCTCAAACTCCAATAAAATTGTCCTGTGCTTCCTTCCAAATTCATTTATTAATGAAACTAAGAACCAAGAGAAAAAAAACCCAGTTTCCTGAGTAACATGGTGCCCAATGTGGGGCTCTCCAATGTTTCCAGTACCTGTTTTCTCTGTGGGGTCAAGGTGAAGGTGTTGCACCTACCCTCTACCTCGTGTGTCCATAAGCCCTCAGGCCTTGTTTTCCTAGTTGGGTTTTATTACATTTATTTAGTGTGTATGTATGTGTACACATGAGCCAGGGCACATATGTGGAATTCAGGAGACAATCTGCAGGAGTTGTTTCTCTTCCTCTTCTGTGTGAATCCTGGAGATCAAATACAGGCTGCCAGGCTTGGCAACAAGCACCTTTACCCACTGAACTATCTTGCTGGCCCTTGATAAGATTTTAATATGCTGACTTAATATTCCAGTTACTTTGATCAGTTTATAAGGTAGCAGCCTTTTTAATTTTAGGAATAAGTTATTTATTGTTCTGCTTCATGGGTGGAACTGGACACATGGTGGTGTTTACATGTCCATCAAGGTACAGAGCCATCCTGTCCCTACATTTATACTTAAAATGGAGTCAAAAGCTGTTGAAAAATGGAAATCTCTCAGAACAAGTGACATCCTGAAAAGCCACTGTTTTACACACAGTATGGTATAGCTTAGAGCAGACCACAACTTAATATCAACATAATAATAGACAACAAAACAGGTACATATTTATGAAGTGTGCTGAACAATGGGGCGGGCATGGTACAGGGATTTAGTCATATGCCCTGCTCTCTGGAGATAATATAATTGTGGAGAATATAAAAACATTGAGAAATCTTACTGGTGTACACAGTGTGGTTGGTAGTGTTGGATTTGGAGGGGAGGCCTGGGCCTTAGTCTTGGGTCTGCCTTTGCCTTCCTCTGTATGCTGCTGGCTACAACTATTCCCCCCACCCCCCATGTTCTGTTTGTCTTAAAGGAGGCAGTTGGCCTTGCCGCACTCCTCAAGGCACTTCTTAGCTCCAGCCTGCCTTGAATGAATGACAGAAATTCAAGTGGTCTCTGATGTGGCAGTGTTTGGAATGGAAGCATTTCTGAAGTTATCTTGGCCTCTAGTAATTTGCTTCTTTAGCTGCAAATGTACTTAAGATTTTTCTGTAACTAGGATGCCATAAGTGAAATGCATTTTTATTCAGGTGAGTAAATATGTCAGAAAAGGGAACGACAACAACAAAGGTTTCATTGAAGTAAATGGCAAGAGTTGGAAGAAAAGAGTGAGTCAGAGGAGGACTTAATGGTGAGCACCTCACTGGAAATTGTCTTGGGTTCAGCAGTCCTGAAACTACCAGCAGGTGGCATCAGTGGCCTGTGTGCTACTTACTGAAAGAGGTAGACAAAATGATGGGAGTCTGCTTGAGGGTGAGTAGGGTACAGGAAGTGATGAACAAATTGCTTTTTATAAAGCTAGTCCAGTAACTAAAGGAGTGTTCATAGGGACAATAATTGGAGGAGATGGAAATGCTAACTACCCTGATTTGGTCATTAGCACGCTGTATACCCATATCAAATGATGCTACACTCAAATTTTATATGCCAAGAAAGATAATCATGGACCCAAGAAAGACTCAGCTATTAAGAGCACTGGCTGCTCTTACAGGGAACCCAAGTTCCATTCCCAGAAGCCCCATGGTGACTAACAGCCATCCATAATTCTAGTTCCAGGGGAATCT